AATGTCAGACCACATTTTAAACCCAATAAAAAATAAATCAGAGAAAAGTAAAACTTTTTTTTGAAAGTCATTTCCCTGTACCTTAGTGCTTGCTTTAGTCTTGGTTGGAAACCAACCCACAGCATTTAAAACAAGATTTATGAATCAGGCTCTTCAGGATGAATGTTTTGCAATGTGTTGGTGGTTAAAAATTAACTTTGACAGGTGTAGAAGGGCATGGGGGAGAAAGAGTCATTTATTTTCTTCTCTAGGCTTGAGGGTACAATATTAGACTTCAATTATGCTACATTAATATTTCTGAATATACCCATGAAATCTGGAATATGTAAATACACTTATAATGGGTGGCATTCAAAAGCACCCTGCATTAAATGAAGCTGTTTTTACTTTGGTTGCCCTATAGAAATCTATATTAGCTACCTAAGTAGCGTAGCTATAACACATAATGATTCCAGAAAACTTGCTATTTACCACCTTAAAATATATCTAAGACTTTTTTTTTTTTTTTTTTTTTTTTTGATACTGGGGATTGAACTCAGGGGTACTTAACCATTGAGCTATATACCCCAACCTTTGTTTGTATTTTTTAACTTAGAAATAGGGTCTCAGTTGCTAAGGGCTTTGCTGAGTTGCAGAGGCTGGGTTTGAACTCGTGATCCTCCTGCCTCAGCCTCTTGAGCCACTGGGATTACAGGTGTAAAGATTTTGATCAACAAAGGAAATGGCAAACTATCAACAAAGCTCTGAAAACTTCCTTTGTATGGATCACCTTCCTAAACCTTAGTTTCTCTGTCTGAAAGTTTATCAAAAAAAAAAATATAATATATTTAGATGATTATTATGCTAGGCCTAGTTCTAGGCTAGAATTAGATCAAAAAAGAAGGGGAAAAAAACCACCTTTGTCCTTGCCCTGCAGAAAGGTAGTTGAAGAGGTTAGTAAAAAAAAATAATAATAATAATTAATTAAATTTTTAAAAAAACCTACAAAATGATTAAGAGGAAAAAGGGCTTAGGGCATAAACTTATTGAATATGTCAACTTAACCTTCACAAAAAGCAGAGTAAGGACCTACTTGGGCAAAGACAAAGTGGATGGCACTGTTTACGAACACTATACATAATTTCACATTTTGTGCACTGTGTACACCTGGGCAATGTACATGGGGAGTGGCACTGAAGTCGAGGCCACTTCACCCAGCAAGCCACACACAGGACAAGGCATCATACGAAGGCAAATGCCTTGCTCCAAGCAATGCATCCAGTGTGGTTACATTTACCTAAAGTATCTCTTTCAGATTTGCATTAAAGCCCTATCTATGAACATGGAGTCAATGGGGAGAACAGCGCAACAGAATTCAGACAACCAGAAATAGTGGTTTGAAGAATTAGAGCTGCAGAGTGAGCCTAGCTTTGGCAGGGTCTGTTTTTTGTTTGTTTGTTTGTTTATTGGTTCTTTTTAGTTATACATGGTAGAATCCATTTTGATATAATTATACAAGCATGGAATATATCTTATTCTAATTCAGACCCCAGTAACTCTCCTTCCCCTTTTTACTCCTTTCCTCTATTGATCTTTCTTAGCAGGGTCTGATAAATAGTTGACACAGTAGAGTCTTGGTATTTGTTAGCTCATTAATCCTCATAACAACCTGAGGAAGAGGTCTTATCCCCATTTTGCAGTCTGGAAAACAGTATGGAAAAGCTGAGTGACTTGAGAAAGCAGGTAAGTAGCAAAGATGTGAGCTTCAACTCCAGATATAGCCAATTGAGAAATCCTGGCTTCTTTCCACTGCACATCTGACAGAGTGGTGCAAAGGCTTACCACGAAAGCTACCAAGATTGCCTTCTGTGTCTTTGGTATATGTGACCTGTAGGAACACACTCATGTATTTTTAGCTTATCATCTGCTGGAAACCTCAGAGGACTTTGTGGACACTGAAAGCAGCTCCATTGCTTGAAAAGTTCTGAAAATCCAAGTAGCAGGGAACAGGCTCGAGGGGTTGGGGGAGATGACTACTCTCATTCTCTATAGGCTTTAGTATCTTCATGCTCCAAATGACAGAGTGGGACAATGCTTTCAACTCCAAAATGATGTTTTTTATGATAATGTCACTTAAAATATAGTCATGTATTGCAAAGTCAGGAACACATCCTGAGAAATGCATCATTAGGGAATTTCATGGTTGTTCAAACATCATAGAGTGTGCTTATACAAACCTCGATTTTATAGCCTACTACATACCCAGGTTAGATGATATAGCTACCACCTTATATGAGACCAATGTTGATTAAAACATTACTATATTACTGCTTTTGTAAGATATAAAGCCATTATTTTTGTACCTTGCGATTTACTTAAACCTTTAACGTCTATGAATCAAAATGCTATTTCTCCTTCCCCTATTCAAATTGTACCTATCTTTCAAGGTCCAATTCAAGTCATATTACTTCCATGAACTTTTTCTATCTATTCAATTGCCCTAAAAAGTCACCAGATACATCTCCAAAGTTCAGTATTTAATTAGATACTATGTGCTTATGAACCTTAATTACATTGATATTATGCCTTAAACATCATCAGCTTTATCGTTTCAAGTTCTACCTGGTAAAAACTAGAAATTATGTCTATTTGGTCCATAATAGACAGTTCTTTTTGTCCCTTTTAAATAGCATTCAGGTACTCATTTCTACACACAGTAACAAAGTTATTACAAACAATTGATTTATGACCATTCACTGGAGATGTGCCAGAGCTGTGCTTCCAAAGCACTCTGGTACTAGCACATGCTGGGGTAATGATGAAGGACTCTGGTAAGGTGTCGCAGGCCTAACAAATCATTTCTTTACCTCGGGATGCTCTGTCAATCATCTGTGCTGGAGTCATTCCCAAATACAAAGGTATTCAGGGTAAGGGTATTTTTCCCTAGCAGGTGGGGAGTGCAATGTTTTCACAAATGAGAGACACTGAGGCATCCATTGAATTCCAAGGGGCCTAGACAATTTGCAGAGTGCCTAAGAGATAGCACACAAAGGGGAAAACGGCTTAAGACTAGGTTTTAAAAATTACTTGGATTTAATTTTTTTTTTTTTTCCCTGGGATGATCCAGCAAATGTTCAAGGCTTTGTCATTCTGTAGCAGAGCTGATGGAACTAATCCTCCTTTGAAACTGGCACACCAGTTTTTAAGCAGAGGAACACAGGGTCCTTTGACACATCAAGCAGCTTTAAAGGTACATTATGAAAATGGTTGCTGATAAACTTTTACTTTGGTGGAATTAGACTAAGACTGATAGAAGACACTTAACCAGTTCACACCAGCCAGACTGATCAAACTCCACCACTGATTCTACTATACTTTGTATAGTAGAAGTTCTCAAAGGTTCCATGTGACAAATTTATTTGTAGGTGTCTGGCAAGTCCTGTCTGGCTTTGAGATTCCACATGCCCCCTGATGGGAATGGCAGAAGACCACTAAAGAAGACCAGGGTCACTAAAGAATCCCTAGCTCTTTACCGTATGTGTACTGTTAGGGCCCCACTTTCTCTCTCTAACATATACTTCAACAGTGGTCAGAAGGGAGTGAAAGGTCCTTGCTCAGCTCTTTGGCTCAGGGGCCTGCCTATTCTTGTTGGTCCTCTTCCTTCCCAGCCTATGTGATTCATCTAGGGGTGCATAGTGAATAATGGCTCAAGTGCCATGTTCCATGCCCCACTCTCATTCTTTCCTACTAAGCCTGAATGCCGACACAGAGCTCAAGACTACAAATGACCCAAGTAATCATATGAGATGAAATCTTTTGGCCCCCACTGGACTGAAGCCTAAGGCATCTATTGACTATCTTTTTAGAGGCAGTTTTCCTACAATTCTGGGCATGTTAAACATTCTGCTTGCTGTAATTTGGAGCACTGGAACAGACTGTGCTTGCCTTATCTACTAAACCTAATGCCTCTCACTTTTGTTACCATTTTTTGGACTTGTTCACAATAGAATCCTGTAGAAGTTCTACATTTTGAATGGTCATCTCCCTCTCTCCATGTCCAATCCCTGCAGATGGGGTTTAAGCCCAGGTCCTTGCCTCTTTGGGGCTCTCCCATCTAGATGTAAATAATCAAAGCTGCCTCTGCAATATCTGATAGAAAAGCACAACTTAACTCTATTGCATGACAGTGGTGCCTGGGTCCCCAGGCCTGTGAATACAAAGACAACCACAGTAATCTGCATGCATTACCTATAATGAATAATAAATTCATGGTGCTTCATTTAAATTCTATTTATAAATCAAGACTACAGGCAACACTTTCTACTGGTCCTGAAACTTCATTTCACCTATAGGTCCTTTAATGCTATTCTAAATGACCACAGTCCACAAGTGTATAGCAAAGTGAGATCTTTTGGACTCTCCACAGTTTTAAAAAAAAAAAAAATCACTTTAAATTACATAGCCCACATTTCCTGCTTTGTTAAATGGCTAACTGAACACCAGCCTGCTTTCAAAGAAGTGCCTGGCTTGCTCTAACTTGCTGCAGTGAACACCGGGCTTTCACGCTGCTTGCACTATTGAAAATGTTTATTTTGATAGACATTTCTCAGCATACTCACTTCCAAAAATCACACTCCAAAATGTTTTAAAATTATATAATAATTATAAACCCCCTACTTTAGAAGTATTAGAAAGAAAAATAAAAATGTCAACAACTAAAATGAACTCCATAAATTTACTCAACAACTAGAGGTCCAGAAGTTGGTGGGTCTAGGGAACTCACCCAACTCTCATCTAACACCAAGACAACTCATAATCTGCAAATGCTGAAACCTGGGTGTTTATCGTACTCACAACTATTCTTTTATTTTTTTCTGTGAATCACAAGTAAAATATTACTGTGGATTGTATTTCTACCATACCAAAAACTTACCTTACTTCAGAGGAAGTCTGAAGCCACTGCTTTTAAGGTTTAAAAACACCCACACAATGAGAGAATGTTGAATGTCACAAAGCCTTACCTGGTGCTGGCTGTCGTTCATTCCATTCAGTGGAGATTAAAATTTCTATAACTTTTATGAAGTGTTCAGTATTATCAGAGCTGCAAGAAAGAGAGTTTTGTTAGAAACCTCATCACTAAAAACAAATTCGTTTCATTTATACACATTCAAGTGATATTTGTGGTAAAAATCTGCTCATGTTTTATGAAGCAGTTTCTTTAGAACACAGTTAATGATGGATCATTTTAGGACTACCCTCCTCACCCCCAAGTTCATGAGTCCCTTTTTTACTTACCTAGCTGCTGGGAATCTAAAAAGCATAGGGCTGAAAATTTCGGAGAGCACTCTTGCATTCAAGAAATTTTTGCTGGAGGTTTGAGAGAGCTTGAAGAAATGTTTTAGCAAATACTGAAGTGTAAGCCAATACTGATGAGGTATGTTAGGCGACCTAATAAGCTTCTTTAACAGCTGGATATAGTCTTCGGAGCTTTGTACTTCTGCAAGTTAGGAAAGAGAAAGAAAAAGAGTAAGACTGTTTCTGGGTACCAGTTAATGCATACCAAGACCAGTCCTGTTCTTTCCTTTAGCTACAGAAGGAGTCAACTAAAAGTCTTCAGGAGAATGGACGTTTGTTCTTCTTATTAGAAAATGAATTGTGAGAAAGAAAAAAAAAGTCAAATAGAAATGCAAGAAACTCTTTGTGTAAAAAACCACAAGATGTTCAGGGTGTGATGGTTGAAACCTGCCCACTATTGAGTGGCTTCAAGCGATTGGTTAATTCTGAGGAGCATCAGATAAGTAGCACAGGTTTGACTTTGAAGGTTATGGACCACAATTTCCTGTCCCCAAAGCAGTGAACGGAGACTTCTCTAACTGAATCCTCATCCTTCAGTAAAAATTGTTATGGGCACCTGGGAAAGATGGCCAAGAACATCCCCAGTCACTGGGTTTTATCCTGGGTCCCTGAATCTCACACTGGTATTTGGAACACCATGTCCTTCAGATAGAGTGATCTTTGTTAATACTGATCAAAGGTTAAGAATTAGCCAGTTCAACATGTGGACAATCTTATAAGCAAATGAGATTCTGGGTCTTCTATTGGATGTCCTGATAAGGAAGGGAATTCTTGGTGGTAGTGAGAGGGAGAGGAGGCTTACTACTGATATTTCCTAAATACCATCTCCTTATATGCAGCACTTCACAGAGTTTACAGCATATCCAGATCCCAATATATGTTGAAAGAGGTTTTCAGAAGAGAAAACAAACCTTGGGCTAAAGAAATCATTTCACTGTAAACAGCTACTGGAATGACAGGATTTGGTAAGTCCAGGAGATAGCGTTTGAAAGCGTCTGCTAAAACTTGCACATCGATCATTTCCAAGTCCAAGGAGGCGGCATCTAGGAAAGAACCATTTTAAGAAATATTTCAGACGTTTATCTAACAGTTGGGCCAATTTTCCAAATGTGGGACTTAAATGTGACACAGGAAAGGAAGCAAAATGAGGGCAAATATAAGACATGGAATATTTATTAGTAGTGTTTCTCAGAGGCCTTGCTCCTAAATTTGGGGTAGAACAATTTTTCTTTATGTAGATCTACCCCATGTGTTATAAGCATTTAGCATTTTTGGCTCCTTGCCATGATGCCAACATATTCCCAGACTTTGAGGCAATGAAAAAAAATAATAATGTCACTGTTACGGGTGAATTATGTCCCTTCCCGATTCATATGTTGAAGCCCAAACCCTAAGAACTTGGAAAGTGATTATATTTGGGGATAAGGCCTTTAAGAGCTAGGTAATTTTGTTACAATGAAGCCATTGGGGTAGGCCCTAGTCCAATGTGATGAGATCTTTATAAGAAGAGGAGATTAAGACACACAGAGAAACAAGGATGTGTGCACAGAGAAAAGACCACATGAGGACACAGTGAGAAGACTGTCATCTGAGAGCCAAGGAAAGAGCCCTCAGAAGAAAGTGAGCATGCCTACACCTTCATTTTGGATTTCCAGCCTCCAGAACTGTGCGAGTGGCATTTCTGTGGTTTAAGCCACCTAGTTTGTGGTATTTCGCTATGGCAGCCCTAGCAAAGTAACATAACCCCACATTCCCAAATACCCTCTGGAGGGTGGGTCTGCCCGATTGAGAAGGGAGGATGAGTCACAAGGAAATATTGCCCAAAATCACAAGAGCAAAATAAGTAAAGCAAATTCCCAGATTGTCTCAGACATAAACTGATACATACTGCATCTCAGAATTAATATAAATCTAACCTAACAGAGTGATAGATTAAATAGTAAGATACTACAGACTTTCAGCTGTCAATCAAGAAAATCCATAAAAATAATTTGAACAGTTTCAGAATGTTTCCCCCTAATGGTGACTGTTACTAATCTAACCTGTGGGCATCAGACCATCTCTGAAAAAAAAGATAAGATAAGCATATCTGCCTAACGGATCTCTCAGTTGGAAAAGAGGTCAAGCAATTCAATAAAGGGGTGATGCTAATCAAAAAATGCCGTCTGAGCACTCACTGTGTATGATGCTCTGAGTCCTTGCAATAGAAAAAGGCACTATGCCCAGCAGAGAGGAGGAGTGCAAGGAGCAGTTGTTCATAGACATCTAAAAACAAGGACAGGCATTTGGCCACTATTGAAGGATGCTCACTGGTAATGAAGGATAACTTGAGGAAAGTTATTTGGGACTCAGGTATTCAGCAGAGAACAAGTGGGTCAATGTCCAAAGCACTACATTTTTATACAGCTTCTTTAACTGTAGAGTTAAGAGTATATTGGAAAGGAGAGCTGCTGGAAGTAAAGGCATTGGTTTTGGTAATGAAGCAAAGGGATGGGGTCTGATTTCTAGTGCAGATAGAAGCCAGCAAGACATTATCAAGAAATAATGCAACTGGTAACTGGATTGGGCAGTGGACTGAGAAAGAATGAGAAAGTATCCAATTATCGAGTTGCCAAAGAGTGAGTGAGTAGAAGGCCATGTCCTGGGGACACTTGGACTAAGTATGATATTATAAATCCCCCTAAGATGAGACCAAGGTCACAGAGATTCATTGGACACATCATTACCATAAGCCAAACTTGCCTCACTAAGTAGGTGAATGTTAGGAAAGATAACTACACAGCACTACAAACTTCTAAGAAAAGCGAATCTGGTATAAGTCGCGGCTAGGTTGGTTTGAGAAAAAGGTGAAGAGGCAAGGGCTGGGGGAGTGGCTCAGTGGCAGAATGCTTACCTAGCGCGAGTAAGGCCCTGGGTTCAGTACCCAGCACCAGAGGGGAAAAAAGAAGGTGAAGAAACAAAAAGTTCTATATCCCTTAAATATCCTATTAAGAGCTAAGCAGAAATACCTGACACCTCCAACAAGTAAGAGAAGGACTAAATTAGGTCTTTGCATACAGAACCAACATTGAAAGTGTGCGAATACTAGTGTAACAAAATATTGTTCAATAAAACTGTATATGTATCATGATAGTAACTCTCCACAGTCATCAACTGCTTGGCAAGCCTCTAGCTCCTTGTGTACTTCACCCCTGTATGCTTCATTTAATATATCTTTGCCCAGCAAATTAATATTACTGAATTTGCTCATCCTGAAAAATGTGTGAAGCCATTTGGCCATGGTGTATGAACATCAAGACTAAATATTCGCATGTCCCTCTGTCAGGCAGGGTTCCCCTCTGTTCTCCTACAGTGCTGATGAGCCATGCCTCCATCAAGACAGCTAGTAAACAGTATGGTAGTGATGCAGGATGATGTGTCTCCCCTATCAGACAGAGGGTGCTGCAGGAGCAGGCAGGGGCTGTAGCTCTCACCCGCTCTTCCTACATCCCTCAGTCCAGCACACAGAAATGTGCTATGTGTTTGTGGATTGAACTACATAGTCCTCAGAGTGATGTTAATTTCAAAGCCCTTTCCTATGACACGTGATGTGTTTCCCAAGGAGCTCTTACAGTGTTTGAAAGAAATTACCTCACACCAGGTCTTTGGCTAACTCACCACATGTCAACTTCCACTACAGTTCATGGAGCAGTATGTTGTATTACCATTATCATCATCATCATTATTTGTAATATAACTTCTAAAGTTTCTTGGAGTTTCCAACTTCTAGGCTATGATACTCCTTTTCTGCATTAAAACCATCTCAACACGCTCTTCCAAAAGCTACCACAGCTATTCTGAGATGACTTTTGAAGGGTCATACAGTCTTTACCAACACCTTACCCTACCTTTCCACTGGAAAGATGCCACCACCCCACCACTATCTAGGTTAGTGGTTCCCATTGTGAGTGGGGTGGGCCGGGAGACATCTGGCAATGTCTAGACATTCTTGAAGGTCACAACTGGGGGAGGTTGGCACTCAGTGGGTGGAGACTGGGGATGTGGCCAGACATCCTGTAATGCGCTGACAGTGTCCTCCACTCTTCTTGACAAAGAATTATCCACCCTAACATGCCAATAGTGCCAAGATTAAGAGCCAGATTCCTGTGAAGAGGAATCAGAAAGTGTCAGGAGAAAATTCATACTGTTAATACTCAAATGAGAAAAGGGGGGAAGAAATAATTCATTTTAGGGCAAAATAGTGGGGAAAGAAAAAAGAAAAAAGAACAGAACAAGGGCTTTTGAAGCCAGAACTGTTTGGCTATAAGATACAGCTTTACCACTCAGCCACTGTGCAATGTGAGTGAATTTACCTACCTAAGGGTCAGCTTCCTTTTCTGGAAGTTAAAGTAACTAATGCTTATAAGTTTAGTGTGTGGATAAAATAAATTAACTTAGTAGGTGTTAATAAAAGGAGGCTGCTGTCCCCTACATTTGTTCTTTTCAGATGCTAGAAATTCACAAGGTTGATTTAAAGCTACGATTTTTTTTTTCAGATTTATCTTGAAGCTTTCTCCAGAATATTACAGTATTTTAATGTATTGAACAATTTTCAAGCTGGAAACAGAATTAGCAAATCCACTTCCAAGTCTGCTTACTTTTCGGGGGCAGAGGATAGATTCATTTTTTTATAGCCCAGAATTTAAATGAAGCCAGCTTTTCATATGTATGTCTCGATTTCAAAGGGGGAGGAAAACTGCCAGTCAAAATATATTGTTGACGTGAATCTTGGTTGTTTACACCATCTCAAGGTGGTGTGAATTTTTTTTAAGCTAATGTGAATCATTTTGTACTGGTCACATTTAAAAACCTAACCACTATTTCATCAGTTTCTGAGGTCTAAACATTTCCTGTGACTTTTAACATGTTCAATTTGACCAACTTTCTGACCAGAACACTTATCTCTATGTCAATTGGTTGAGGACAAAATTCATTGTTTCCTTAATACACTGGTAATATTGTTGGAAATACAGAAAAACAAGTCTTTTCACCTTGAATTTTCTGCCAAACAACTTGTAATGACCTACTCTGTGGGAAGTATAGAAGATATAGCAGCAAAGAGGATTTGCACTGTACGCGCAAGGCTGATTTCCAGGTACAAAGGGGAAATACAATTTAAACAATTTTTTTTTTTTAATTTTTTATTGTGGGTTAAACAATTTTTTTTTCAAAAAAATGTTAAAACATTCGTGCAGTACATTTTAAGTGAAAATATTTATTGATAAAGAATTAGACTTGGGCTGAGTTTGTAGCTAGCGCAGTGGTAGAGTACTTGCCTAGCTTGTGTGAAGCACTGGGTTTGATTCTCAGCACTGCATATAAATAACTAAAATAAAGGGCCATTGACAACTAAAAAAAAAAAACAACAAAAGAACTAGTGTCATTCTTTTCTCCAAGAAACATCTTTTAAAAAAATTTTCCTAAGTCAGCTTATTCTGAAGCTGCCTTACATTTCAATTCTCATTTACTAAATACCACCACATAAGCAGTCCTGTACAGTTGTACTTCTAAGAAGCTTCACTTAGGACCAAGTTTTACTCTTTTTTTTTTTTTTTTTTTGGTTCAAGCATTCAAATTCAGTTGAAATATCATGTGAGATTGAAAAGTATCTTTCTAAAAAGAATAAATATGCCATGAGGGAATAAAGGACTTGAGATATCCTAGAAGTTGACAAGAGAAAATTATCCATATAAATAACAGCAAGTAAACCAATTGTACAGTTTTTTTCCTTTATGGCAAAGGAGGGAGTAAGCAAATATAAAGCCACCACTTGGCTGAATTGGTGTCACTTGCCCAATGGTGTGCTGGCGCTGGTTTGTCCTGGCTCTTAGGCGCCAACTGTCCTCAATTCTCCCCAGCTCCACATTCAGTGACATCACGTTGGTTAGCTTGAAATCAACCACAGTGGGGATATTTATGCCACAGAAATGGGCAGATGTTACAAACCAGGGCTTCTTTCCAGAGAGTTGATTTGCCAGTACGTGACTGAATAAAACAATCAATATCATTCTGTTACTTGATGTATATATGTATGCATGAAAAACCGAGCAAGCAAGAAAGGAAAATAGCATGTCAGCCAGCCAGATGGGGCAGTGGGTGGGGACAGGAAAAGAAGAAAGAAAGGGGAATGAAAGGAAGAGGATGTCAGATGGGACACCCTCATATAAACACTGTTTAGCTGATCCAGATGGGTTTAATGTGGCCAACAGAAAGGTCAAGGAAAGATGGTAGATGTGCAGAGCCAGAGAAATCCCAAGGTCATTTCTCTTCTCTGTAATTCTTGGAGAATGTAGGGGCCCATGGCTGTGATGATGGTCAACATGCCAGCAGGCAGGTGTATACACACCCCAACTCAGGAGACAAACATCAAAGGTTCATACTGGTTTATACTGTTAACACAATAGGGTGGAGGGAACTGTGCATGATTTGAGTTCCCTTCAAAGGGGAAATGTCAGTATGTGTGTGTGTGTGTGTGTGTGTGTGTGTGTTTGTGCGCATTACTGGAAGCAGCAAGGTGAGACCTACATTTCCCATTTGCATGTGTAGCTCTGTGACACTCACCACAATCAAGAAGCTGTCGTAATTCTGCAGGGTTGCTGGAGCTTTGTGTTCTGTATAGAGTCGAACATTCCAGACCTAGGGCACAAAACAGAACCATGTATGACAAACACAGCTCTCTGGAGAACCTGTGAGCCTTCTGCCAGAGAGACATTCCAGTTTCCATGCCGTATCTATTCTAGATGTGTACCAAACATTCTTGGAAGTCAACTCCTACTATTAATCTTATCTAGCATGTCAATAATTTTGGCAAAACCAGCTGGCCACTAAGAAGCAAGTTAATCATGTTTATTAAATTATGGAATACATAAGAGTTTCCATACAGTAAACTACATGCTAACCTAGAGCTAGAAATCACAGGCCACGATTATTTTCCCAGTAAAGAGACCTAAATAGCTGGGGGGGGTGGGGGGGGTGGGGTGTCTAGCAAAGTGTCTTCATATTTCAGGTAGTAAGAAATTTATTTAATAAATGTCCCAGAAATACACATAAATTGTGGCATCCATGAAATAAGGGTCTCAATAAGTGAACTGACAACCTCTAGCAGTCTGGTTACCTTTCTTTTCAATGGCTTCCACGAGCTTGATGAGGAGAGGAGGGGCAATGTCAGGAGGGGCAAATTGTTCTGCCAGATCCGGAAGGGTCAAAGCTGCAAACACACAAAATCCCACAATTATATTTAATTTAGGAGAATCAAACACATTAGACCACAATAAAGACTATTTTAAATATAATTTAATTACATTTGACAGTAGCAAACTTAGGTCCAAGTAAGAGAGACCCCCCCCCCCACCCCAGGCTGTACACTTTCAGGGCTAGGGGAAATGCCCATTTCTTTTCTCCTAGGATATAGTCAGAGTACCAGCCTAGAATCCTATGATTCCCAGCCACATGATCTCTTAAGACCTCTCTCCCTAGGGCATCCTCCCCAGGACTCCTGAACCTTCCATGTTCAGGTGCACCCCAGAATTCAGAGGTGGGCTAAATCTGGCAGGGGTCTAGGGCTGGACTGGAGTTTGGATGAGCAGGATAAGCCAGGGAGGAGCCGGCTCCTGCTCTCCCTGTATCACCCTGCTCTGGAGCAGTATTCTGAGGAGCCTAAGAAATTCAAACTGGCCTCCTGGTTATTATGAAACAATCCTTATCCAGATGGGGAAACAGATGAGATTCTGTTGAATGTTAGCATGATGTCTAACTAAAATATTTAGACTCAGGGTACTTGGGCATCTTTTTGCACTCTCGCCTCAAACCCCACAAATGCAAGGGGTGGCTGTAAGCTAATACAAATGATCACTGTCCACTTGACATCAAATTAAGTCCCTGTGTTATTGCTGTCAGAGCCATTATTTGCTTACATATATTTTGGGCAGTTAGTAGTTTAAGAACTGTGAAGCTTTGATAAGCTGTTTCCCCATGCTTTATTTGTATGGTTTGTATGTTTTACCAATTGTAATGACACAGAGAAATCTGATTGAATGACATTCACGAACAATTTTTTATGATATTACACTGATGGCTATATTATTACTCCAAAAAACCACAAAAGTTTTAAAGTAAAAATAATTTTCTCAAAATATGCCAGAAGAGGGCGCTAAATATATTCACCTGAATTTTTTCAAACTTCAAAATATGGGTGACAGTCTTTAAGAAAATGTCTATCTGTGCAACCTACTTACTAGGCATCTATAAATAACTTTAGACAAGTAAAATCTACATTTTGCACTCTGACCTAGGAATAGTTCATATAGTCTCAGAAAGACTAAATAGTTGCAATTTTGTTTCAGTGAGATTTTAATGGTATAATTCTTTATTATAAACTATGTACCTGGTTAAGCAGATTTCTGATTAAGCCCATATATCAAGTACTAAGAATTAATGTTAGTTAAGAGTTAATGACAGATTCATGATTCAAAAATACAGTTGTGTCACTAAATTTTGACCTCAGAACTAAGAATGATTTAAGTAAATTATGTTGCAAATCCTAAACACTCTGATTTAAGATCCTTGAAGATTGTACTATGTCCTATAATAGACATCATATATGATTTTGCACCTATCTCTATCAGCCATTGCTACAACTCAGGATAAAATGAGAAGAGCTTAATTATAACAGGAGGAAAATCCTATAGCTGTGCTGTCTGATAAAACTTTCCTGCAATGATGAAAATATTTCTATAGCTGTGCTCTCAATAAAGCAGCAACTAGTCATAGTGGCTACTAAGCACTTAAAATGTAGCCATTACAAAATCCAGGGACCGAATTCTTAATTTTAATTGATTTAGATTGAAATAGCAACATGCAACTAGTGACCACAATATCAGAGGGTACAGTCTGGTATCCTGCATAAGGGAAAATATCATCAATGACAGATGAAAGAGTTCTGAGTCACTGTGTGCTATCTTTGAGATGGCATCCTGACACAGGGCTAATCAGTATTTGGACTTGAGGCCCTTAAAAGGTCACCAGTTTCTTGGGTGACTTTAAACAACTGCAAAATCACTCTAACACCTTTTGGTTAGAACATAAAGGCAGAACAGATAATGCCATTAACAGGCACCATTCAGAGAGATGGGTGGGAACCTCAGCTCTCCTAACACTGATCACCACCTGGAGAACACTATGGAATGCAGATTCCCAGGATGCACTACATCCCCAGAATTAGAATGTCCAGGAATGGGGCTAGAAGCTGTTGGAGTAATAAGTTTTAGGATTTACTAATTTTTAAAATTATTGTGGTTGTAGATGGACAGCATGCCTTTATTTGTTTAGTTTTTTATGTGTTGCTAATGTTCAAACCCAGTGCCTTACACATGCTAGGCAAGCACTCTGCCACTGAGCTACAGCCCCAGCCCTAGGACTTACTATTTTTGATTAAAAAAAAAAAAAAAAAGTCTATGCAGATGATTCTCCTGAAAAAAATCCATTAATGGTATCTCCAAGTTTCTAAATGTTAAAATGTGAATGTATCTGATAAGCACTCAAAATACAAATGTCTTTAAAGTTTCAGTCTTTTTAGTTAAAAGTGTTGTAAAATTTAAAAACACTCTAATATGAAAGTGAATACCCTTTCATTTTCTTTGATAAACTATAAACCATTTCTGTTGGCCTAAGTGGATGTTCAGTTCACAAAAGGATCCTTTCCCACAAATACTTTATTTTTATAGTGAGCAAAACAAACACTACTCTATCAGCATATGTAACAGAAGGGAAACGTAAAGGTAGGGAAATGGTATAGAGAAATGCTACTGAGTATGTACTTAGCTCTATCAAACCAACAGATCTGAGCACACTCCCAAATTCAGAAAACTGAAGATGGATTAGTGAATATACAATACACATACCCACACAACACTTATGCAATGAACAGGCTGATTCTGCTTTCCTTTCTCTCATAAATAAGCATTTTTTTTTAAATGGAAAACAATTTCTACGCTGGCACTAAAAATGGAATTACTTAATAACGCCTTATCTCCTTCCAGAATCTTATCAACATCATCATTTCTGAAGGCAAATATGAAAGTTAAATTAAACGATAATTAAAAATTTCATCTAATTGTGATTGAAATATGCACCCGACAGTTGTTCTAGTGCTGGGTTGGCAAGTGCTACATGCAGGTTTCCACCCTTCTCTCTTCACTTGAACTGAAGACATTTTTAAAAAGCAAAAGCTTACTTTCTTTATTCTTCCCATGCTTTTTTTGTCCATGACATTTAGTTTACCTGCACTTATCCTGAGCTACACAATAGCATTTGTTTTACTTATACTGGAGTTTTATGAAGTTTCTGAAACCATTGTGAGGTCACTGAGAGTATTTCATACTGCTGTCAGATTATCTAATAAAGAAAGAAAAAAAAAATTGACACACATGTGGAAGGAAGTGGTAGAGCTCTTTTTGTAATATATTGAATTTTTAATATTAAAAATTTTATTGTTCAAAGGCATGAATTACTATAGCTGATCAAGATTTTAAAACGGGAGTTTGAAAAGTAAAATTTACAAGAGATGATTAAAAAAAAAAAAAACACACAATTCAAGGATTTCCTATTCCCTAGTACAATATCTGTGATTCAGTCCACTTCCCCTGTGAAATATTTAGACATAGGGAATATGGCAGCCCTACCCAAGAAGTTTGTAAGTTCATTTCACTAACTTTGGGCATCAGAATTAATTACCATCAAAATTCTAAAAGATATTCTAAAGTAAAATATTCTTACAACAACCCTAAAATCAATTATTCCTTTCATTCCATTGTAAAATTTAAAAACATTTAAAAGCATTGTAAAATTTAAAAACACTCTAATATGAAAGTGTATACCCTTTTATTTTCTTTGATAAACTATAAACCATTTCTGTTGCTAAGTGGATGTTTAGTTCACAAAAGGATCCTTTCCCACAAATACTTTTCTTATACTGAACAAAACAAACACTACCCTATCAGCATATGTAACAGAAGGGAAACATAAAGGTAGGTCTAAATTTTTTTCATAAATTTCATTTTAAGGGATTTTAAAGGGAAATGGCAATTTTAGGAATTACCAAACTTGGTAAGTTGTTCTTTGACCAGTTCATAATTAAGTATCACATCTACAATTTGATAAACCAAAACATAATTGGAATAAAAATAATTAAAATATAAAACATATAGGGTAGAGTTATAAGTAAAACACAAATTGACAAAGTGTGATCCTTCTAAAGTTTACATATAAATTCTCATTGGATTTCATCTGCTAGCATGATTTTTATACCAGAATAAGAACTGCATTTTGGTTTTGAGGGCAGCTGTAGCACATTGTCTAAAGTCTGGAGAACCAGGTCCACTCTGAAGAATCTGGTGGAATTTGTAGATTCCACTACTACAATCCAACCCCTTTTGTCCACTTAATTGAGTTTGTCCCTTTATTTTTGTTTTTTTGATAAAAAAGAAATCAGTATCAGGTAAGGAAAAATAAAGAAAGAAGAGCTAAAAGGTCTAAAAGTAGTGAATCCAAGACACACACACTATTTCAAAAGAAAGGAGGAATCATTTTCAACATTGACAAGATCACCAGGGATCCAGGTGTACCAAACTGTAGAAAGAACTTTGATGACACATCAGAGGCTGCATCTTCCACTGATGCCACCACCCCCGCAACCCACCCACCCATCCTGGTGACAGACAATCACATGCAACAGAAGAAAGCCTTCTTTTCAAACTTAAGCCTTCCCAAACCACTACCACGGACAGGCCTCAACAATCCTTGGGCACCAGCAGTGTGTGGGAGAGGGTGGCATTCTTTGCACTAAGCGGTGCCAACACCGCTGTGAAGTGCAAGATGAAACCAGCACACAGCTGCACCTTTGGAGGCGTTCTCCATTAAAAAGAGATATTTTAAAGTTAGTGCCTGGCAGGGCCAAGTGGAAAGTTTAAGCTGAAACACTGGGACTCCAGAGATGGCCCCAGCCAAGTATTTCATTCCTGATGGAAGCGGCTTGGAAGTGTGTGAAATTTTGCTGCTTTCCTCTAAAAATGCAACACAAAATACACAGAAATTATATATGCAAACATGGATCAATATTAAATCAAGATGTTAGTCTAACTGCCACTGAATCAAAACTTTGTTTCTGCCTGAAATAATCTGTTTCATGACTTCAAATGAAACATTCTAATG